GCCTTGCATATGATATCACATCTGTTTTGAAAATGGAGGTGGAGGGCAGTCACTGCTGCCTTTCGCTGGATCGACAATCTGCTGTACACACATTTCGTAATTCTAACTGACTCACAGAGTACGCTGAGAAAGGTGGAGGCAGGCATGCTTCGTGAAGAGTGGCAAGCATAGCTTCAGAGGTCCTGGGTAGTTAGCGTTTTCTGGATATTTTCTCCAGTTCCTACAGGTGTGTTGGGAGACGAGCAGGCAGATAGACTGACCAGTTCCGCACCACCTGGTGGTGAATTGTTGTATGACAAGCTGGATGTTGTAAGGGCCCTTTGGGAGCGAGTGAACAGTGTAGAGGCACAAACAGATCATTACGGTCTGAGGAGAATGGCGCTTCGAGGAGCTGCCAGGGGAATATGCGAGACGGATGTACAGTTAGACATGTTAGATGCTTGTACCATCGGAATTTTAACTCTTCGTTTGCCGCTGAAGATCTTGACGGGGTGCTTATGGGAGTCTCCAGAGTGCTATAATGTCGATTCTTAATTTAGCATTCAACTTTCGAAGTCGAAGTGCATCTGTCTGATAGGCAAGGTACCAGCAGTATGCATACAAGTAAACCAGATTCTATAAGCAGTTTTTAATCTAAAGTTAAAAAATCTAATGGATATGATAACACAGGCTTTTAATTATAGATTAGGAACACATTCTGACCAAAACGTATCTCCATATTTTCTGTTTCTCTTGTTGCGGCATCCATTGACCTACCTCTTCCTAATCATAGTTTTTTTTTAAAATGCCGGGGTTTGGTGGAAAAAAAAAAGGGGGGGGGGGATCTTGCAATGTACTCAAGAGGGGTGTAGGGTCTTGCCACATACTCAACGGAGGCGTGATCTGAAAGAAATGTTGGAAACCACTGCTCTAGCGGTACAGTAATACTGTCTACTTACTGCGGGGTATGCACCAATGGGTTGTCCATAGTTGGTGTTGTAGTCAGCGCTGTAGGCTAGGGGTGTATCATCTGGGACATTAGAATTAAAGTCAACGTTACAAGACAGATACAAATGATCAGACAATATATATTTTTCTTCAGTTTTCCGAATCCATGAAGTTCATTGCTGCAAAAATCACTTGCCTCCAGTCATCTCTTTGATTTGCTTTGCCTTCTCAATTCGGTTAGGAAAACCAAGTGTTTGTTGGCTTGTCTGGATGTCGTCTTTCCACAATTACTTTGGTCTGCTTCATGACAATATATAGCTTGTTTTTTGTTATCGTTGTTTTTTTAAGCAAATGTTTTGTTGAATAGTTTGATATCTAAAAAACTCGTTACCTTGCGATGCTTATGTATCATTTACGCCACACACACACAGGCACCGGGCGGACATCTCCGACTCTTGGCTGCAAAGCTTCACATGTAGGTTGGGTGTCGACTTGAATGGATCTTGGTTAAGCTGTCATCTCGTAGATTCAAATCATCCTTCACGTTCTCAGTTACAAATTTTAGAATTCAGGCTCTCTAAACACAACCTTTCATTCTGGCCGCAAAATATCAACTGACTAAGCCTTTGTCTCGTCCTTCAAAACTCGTTCTGGGTTCCTCGTGCTGACGCACTAGCCAACTTCAGATACCCCCTTCTCCCTTTCCTTCTCAAGTGTTTCGCACTTGTCGTCATTCAGAAAAAAACACAGTAGAAATTCCCGTCATTACATTTATTTTCTTCTTCTTCTCCTCCTCCTCATCGACCTTCATTTTCTTCTTTTCATTTTTTGCCGTCACTAGGTAACAAAAAATTAGTTGCATATCCTTTAAAGGACATTGTAGAACTAACCCCAGCATTCTTCGGCTGTTGTGGTTAGGCACTTTTTACTTTCAGTAGTTTGCCATTGCTTTCATTTTGTTCCTACTACCATCATGTGCTTTCATCATTTTGTTCCTACTGCCATCATGTGCTTCTATCAAGTTTAATTATCACTAAGTAAGCAGTAATTTTGTAACTATATGGCTGGCGTATGTATGTATGTATGTATGTATGTATGTATGTATGTATGTATGTATGTATGTATGTATGTATGTATGTATGTATGTATGTATGTATGTATGTATGTATGTATGTATCGTATGTATGTATGTATGTATGTATGTATGTATGTATGTATGTATGTATGTATGTATGTATGTATGTATGTATGTATGTATGTATGTATGTATGTATGTATGTATGTATGTATGTATGTATGTATGTATGTATGTATGTATGTATGTATGTATGTATGTATGTATGTATGTATGTATGTATGTATGTATGTATGTATGTATGTATGTATGTATGTATGTATGTATGTATGTATGTATGTATGTATGTATGTATGTATGTATGTATGTATGTAATGTATGTATGTATGTATGTATGTATGTATGTATGTATGTATGTATGTATGTATGTATGTATGTATGTATGTATGTATGTATGTATGTATGTATGTATGTATGTATGTATGTATGTATGTATGT